CCGAGGGAGACGGTGTAGGTCTGGATGTCTTCGAGAAACTTGTCGAGGAAATCGGGGGCCTGCGACTTGGTCTCGAGCTGGTAGATCCACGCGTAGTTGGAGAACTGGTCGAGGAACAACATGAAGTAGTACCCCATCGATGGATCGTTCGAGCGGAAGGACTCGAGGGAGTTGATGGGGCCTATGATATCGACGCTGACGGTGTCAAAGGGCTGTGCAGCTTGGTGACGAGCGTCGTTGAAGATCAGCTTGATCGCCTTACCCTCCGCGTAAGCTGGACAGATCTGCTTGAGGCGTCGAGAGGTGAGTAGCCCGTCCGTGGCTGAGATGGTCGCGTTGAGTGTACGGGTCGAAGCGTGTCCTAAACGGGCGTGGAGGATGCGCTTGTCGATGGTTGAGGAGAAACTGTCGTCGAGAGGAAGTTGGCGGGCGGCTGCGGCGGGTGAACAGTCCGAGCAGGTTTCGGAGTCGGCATGGCCGACGAGCGTGTCTTCGGAGGTGCTGATATCCTTGTCGCCGGTCTGGTTGATGGCCGGTGATGGAGGGGAAGCCGTGTCGACGAATGCCACGAGCGCGTCTGAGGTAGCTGTGAAGACGGCCATGATGATGCACATGTTCTTGGGCTCTGCGGTCCCTTGCGGGGTGATGAGGTAGCGGCCCTGCTGGAGGTCAAGGTCGAAGCCGTTGATGGAGAACTTGGCCTGCTTGGAGAGGCTCACGAGTTCGGCGTCCCATTGCTTGCAGAGGTCGGACTCGTTGAAGATGAGCCGCTTGATGTCGGGGGACACGTAGAAGTTGTCGACCTTGGCCGTCACAAGCGAGTTGTTCATCAGGCGGTAGCCAACAGAGAGGGTGTCCTTGTACTTGCACACGATCTTGGAGAAGTTGGCAGCGGAAGCGTGCATGTTCGTGGGCTGCACGTCGGTCAGGAAGGGCAGGTAGTCCATCGGCCCGAGGTTGAGTTTCGAGCCGGAGTCGAAGAAGCCCGAGTCGCTCATCTGCGAGAGGGAGTCCTGGAAGCCCTTGCCGTGGAGGGAGTATATCTTGGAGATCTCGAAGTAGTTGGTCAGCTGTGCCAAGCCGCCCGAGTTGATGATCTCCTGCCCGTTGCCAATTGCGAAGGCGTTGGAGGGCTTGGCCGTTGCGATGGCCGAGAGGAAGATGGTCGCGATGAACCCGAAGATGAAGACGATCACCACGATGAAGTTGAAGAGCGGTTTGGTCTTGCCGGCGATGAACTTGGAGGGGGTGTCGACGGCGGAGCGCTCGAAGGGCTTGGCGCAGGAAGCGATGTAGGCGGCGGAGCACTCGAAGCGCTCAAGCTCAGCAGCAGCTTTGAACTTGCGGAAGCGCTGCAGCTTGCGGGTGGAGAGCGGCGAGTAGGTCTCGTCGATAGCGAGTACGTCAGAAGTGTCGGGGCCGTACGGGTTGC